GCTGCCCCATCCCTGGAACCATTCCAGGGGAGGTTGGCCGGGGCTCTGAGCAACCTGCTCTAGTTGCAGATGTCCCTGCTCCCTGCAGGGGGGTCGGACCAGATGACCCTGAAAGGTCTCTTCCTTCCTACTGAACTATCTCCCAGTGCCTAATGCTTCTGAAAGCTGGACACTTCACTCCCAGATTTAGCAACTGTGTTGTGCTTCACCTTTGACAACGCTCTGGAATGACAGTAATTTTTTTTTTTGTTGTTGATATTATTAGATGTAAGTCACTAATTTCCCTTTGAAAAAAAAAAACAAAGACATTTGTATATTCATTAGAATCAAAAAGCTGGAATCTTAACTGGAAATTCATGGTCCTACCTAATATTATCCAACTTAAAAAGCTACTCTGTGAACTTCGTGAGGGATCCAATTTTATAGATAGAAAATGTGGGGATTGAAACAATTTGTGCTCACGTACAGATGGAAGTTATTATGAACTCTCGGAATTAACACACATTGTTTTGACTTCGGAATGTAACAGCAAAGCAAGTTTCTCCAAATAAATGCTCTACCGAGCTAGCACTGAGCTGCTTCTAATTCCAGCTGAAGTCTCCTGAGTGCAAGATGTGGTTTTCATTGTTATTATCCTGCTGTTTTACAAAACAGTACCACTTTATCTTGAGAAAAGTTTTTATTTCAGTAATTTTCCTTAATATCAACCCACCCTTGCTTCTTCCCTACTCACGTTTCTCCTTGTTGCCAGAACTCCAGGTAATTGTGAAAGGATAGAAAAAAAAAAATATATATATAAAAATCTGTGAAACCAGGGAAGCTTAAACAAATCCTTTCAAGTATTTCTTTTAAGTTGAAACAAGTTTTTCTGGGCTCTTTGTTATCTCACCCACAGTGATCACAACTTGCATGAATCATTTGAGTAAGATGAGAGGTTCAAACTAGATATAAGGAAGACATATTTTATGCTGAGGGTGGTGAGCCCCTGTCCCAGGTTTCCCCGAGAGGTGGTCGCTGCCCCATCCCTGGAGACATCCCAGGTCAGGTTGGATAGGGCTCTGAGCAACCTGCTCTAGTTGCAGATGAACCCTCTGCAGAGAGCAAGGACATCTAGGTGACCTTTAAAGGTCTATCCAACCCAAACCATTCCATGGAGACTCAAGCTCTTCTCCTAACACTCCAGTACTGTTCCTGCCACACACCTCCAATCTTCCCACGGCACTCAGAGGGAATTAAGCAACTGATCTGCATTTATTCACATGCAAGTTATTTGCAGGGCTGGTGCTCCAAATTAAGACCTTTGGGCCTTAAAAGGATTCCCTCACAAGTTGTTGTCTAGAGATAAGAGAGAAGCAGCTGCTCATTCTCCATCCAAACCTAACTATTTTCACACACTCACATGAACTAAGGAGATCTGGAAGCTTCCCTCCAAGCAGCCTTAACATCTCCTGAAATCATCTTGAATTCAGCAGTTCAGCCTCCAAAGGAATACACAAAGGATTCAAATCACCTCAGGTTTTTTAGATCTAGTCAGGCCCTGAGTACAGAAGTTTTGTGATGTATTTCTGTCTGTTATCTACCTGTTCTGCTTTCATGCTGCTTTCACAGTGGAACTTCCCCTTGGCAGAACCATGAAAAGCTGCAATTTTTGACCAATGATATCAAAACAAAGGTGACTACAACAGCTTATATGGACCTCAGGAACACTCTCCTGATTAAATAAGTAGTAGAAGCCCCCCAAAAACTCCAACTTAGTTTTATTAAATTTTTATATTCAACAGCATACTGTGTCAAGCACTAACATGTGAACCACTCACGTTGTACAAACCACTTCAAAGTTTGGCCACTAAGTGCTCTGGCTTGTACCAGCACAGTGACCCCATGTAAATATGGAAACTTTTTTTATACAAGTACATACTTAAAGTCTTCATTTACTTTTATGAGTTTAAACACACACCAGTGATTTCAGAAACTGACTGCACGAACTTGGAAGGCAACATGGGGGAGTGACCATGTTTTCAACTGTTCATAGACCTTTAGAAATAGGGTAAAAATCAGAAGGAGAGATTTCGACAGGGGTAACAACTCAGAGATGACAAGTCAAAGAGGAAAAAAAAAAAACAGGAAAACAGGCAAAGTGGTGACAGCTCCTATTAAAAAATACCACAGGCACAACTGACAACTAACCCAGACTATGAGGAATGAAAAGACAACTAACTTGGGTTCATAATCTCCATCAAGCTAGAAGCACAGAGCACTTGCATCACATAATGGCAAACTCCAGAACAGGAACAAAACCATGAGAGGCTGAATAGAAAAGCAAGCAGCATCACAACTCACAAGTTACAGAATGAACTGATGTATTTACAGAAGAGGAGATTAAGGAAAGCATTGATTTGATAGTAATGGAGAGAGAAAGCTATCAAAGCATTTGAAGGATGAAGTATTTAATCCCTTTTTTCTCACTAGTCTTCCCCATGAAAGTCAAGTGTGAACAGCTGGCTGCCATTATTAATACCTGCAACAAAGAGGCACAGTCTAAGTTATATTAACAGCTTGGTTAAGTGAATTTTCCAAGATTAGCGGGACTTGATTAACTTCATCTTAAGATATTTTAGCCTTTAAGTAATTTCAGAGCCACTGGAGGTTATCTTCCAAAATACACTAAGCACGGGCAAGATACCAGAAGTCTGGAAAATGGTAAACGCAATCCAAGCTTAAAAAATGAACAACAAAAAAAGACCCAAAAGTTTTACTTCAATTTGTGGGTAGGGAAATGGGGAAAAAAAAAAAAAAAAGGTGGTGGAAGAGAGAAGTGGAAAACCAAACCAAACAACTAGAAACTAAGCATAAAAAAAGATCAGATTTTTCAAGAATAAAACTGTCAGACCAATCTAGTTTCAAACCTTACCAAAAGGTTAGAAACTGAAATGTCACCTTTCTGTTGGAATTGAAATAAATCTCTTGGCACTTCATGGTGCAATACGCTCACAAGGATGCTGGGAAAGGGGATATTGATGAAGTATGAATGAATTCAGAGCACCAAAGTCCTCTCTGGGTGTTGTTAAAACACAGCTTCACTGTTGTAAATGGAAGTGCTAGTGAAGCTGGGCTCTGCCAGGGTCTAGGCTTTACCCCAGTTCTGTTCAATATTTTAATTAGGTGACCTGGATAGAGAGAATAGGCTCAGAGGCAAACAGCAGAAAGCTGGGATTGAGTTCTGACCCCACCCTTCCCCATCTTCGAGATTTACATCACCAAATCAGAGCCATGACTCAGAAGAAAAAGGGGCACCTAAGGTGTATTCAAGGTACAGCATGTAAAACCTGAAGGAGTCACCTGCACAAATGCAGGATGGATTATTTTTTTGAGTGTAGAAAAGACTCAGGATTGCTACCTGCACCAAATCATAAAAGTCACTGTGTTGGGCTGTTAAGAGAATAAACCTATCAGAACACAAAAAACTGGAAAAAAAAAATAAAGAAAAAGGACAAGACCTGTGAAGCATTTTCTCTTCAACCTACTCAATGTTTTGAAGGCATCAGCTGCACACTATATCCAGCTTTAGGCACAGCACTTCAAGAAAGAGGTGGACTCAGAGAACAGGAGACAAGAATGATGCTCAGAAATTAATCACAGAAACATCAAATTGATTGGGTTGGAAGGGACCTTACAGATCATCTAGTTCTAATCCCCCTGCCACAGGCAGGGACCCCTCCAATTATATCATGTAGCTCAAAGTCCCATCCAACCTGGCCTTGAACACTTGCCATGATTGAGCATCCACAGCCTCTCTGGGCAGCCTGTTCCAGTGTCTCACCACTACACCGCATCCTAATCTCCCCTCTTTCAGTTTAAAACCTTTACCCCTCATCCTATCAGCACATGCCCTGAAAAAAAAAAAAAAAAAATCTTTCCCCACCTTCCCTGTAGGCTCCCTTTGAGCATTGAAATGGCACAACAAGCTCTCCTTGGAGCCTTCTCTTTTTCAGGCTGAACAATCCCAAACCTGTCCTCATAGGAGAGGTGTTCCAGTCCCCTAATCATCTCCACGGCTCTCCTCTGGATCCATTTGAGCAGATCCACGTCCTTCTTAAGAGATATGACCCACGAGATAACACTTTCAAAAGGAAAGGCTGTCTTTCAGTGCATCAAAGTTTGTAAAGAAGAAGAGACAAAAGAAAAAAATATTGTAATAGATGATTATGTGATTAAACACAAGACAGATTTGGATTAGATGTCAGAAAATGCTTTAGTGGCCAAGACAGTCAAGGGTTGGAACTAATACTTGGATCACAGGCTTTCCTTCAGGGAGTTCCACAAACAACTACCAGGGAGAGCCCAAGAGCAGCTGAACGTGCCCTAGAAGGAGGCAAGATTCTAAATGATCTCCCCAGGTCCCTTTTTCGGACCAGCTTTTTGAATATCCCTGAATTCCATACCAGATGTGTCAGCAGCAGATATTAGTGGAATCTCAAAACCAAGTTTGTAAACTTTAAACTCTCAAGTGTTTGCCTAAGTAAAGGATGGATTTTTTAAATACATTAAGAGCAACGAAGTAAGGATGATTAGAGGACTTTTTTTTTTTTTAATGTAAAGTCATGTATTTGCAAGACTTAAGGTTTGCCAGCTTGTTGTGTTTTCTTATCATAAGTATGGGGGTAGAATACTAGTCAATAATACAGCAAGATGAAAGACACAGCGATAAGAATGCCACAAAGATCTTCAAGTATGACAAAAATAATACAGAAAACATTTACTATTTTCAAAACAGTGTGTTCAGACTCACAGTATTAATTTGAAAAGGAAAAAATTCATCACCAGTTGGCGAGCCCTCTAAGCACCACAGAAGATAATCTCAAGCACAAAGCTGTCAGGTAGTTTCACAGATGTTTGCCACAGAACAGCATCACGAGACAGTGGATGCACGCTCATGCCAACCTGACACTAAGCAGAGAGTAGATACAAATAAATGAATAAAAACATCTCAAAGTACCAACCTGTGCTATATTTTTGTTGAGAAGATACACTCCATATTCAAACTGAAGCTTCTCCCCTCCTTTGGGATATAAGGGAAATCTGATGGGAAAGAAAAGAAAGCAGAAAAAAAAAAAATAAAAAAGGTGCAATTATTCAGATGCTTAAGTAAACTCCAAAAAGCCCCAGACTCCTTTTCTGAGAAGTTAAAGGCTTAACCAGCCTCCCTTGCTGACACCTCCCAGGAGCCCCATCCGTAGGATGTACTTAGGAACCCTCTGCAACTCCAATCAGCCTTTTAAAAACTGATGTCAAAACTCAGCTAATGAATTACATTTTCTGAAGTATTTTACGTTTTTAAAAGATTCTTTATGACTATCCCAGTGCTGCAACATTCCTCTCACCAAGTGAAGCACATCGTGTAAGATCACCACCTCAGCCCTTTGCTTTTGGCAAATTTGAGTTTGGTTAGCTCATTTCCAACTAGAAATCATCTTTTGGGAAAGGTGTTCTCTTTTTATTGGTATTTTATGATTGAAAGAGCACAAACCTCTCCACCTAGGAGAAGACATTTGCAGGCTCACTTACCATCATCACAACAGAACATCACTCAGAGGATACAACTGATTCCTTTCAACAAGCTTCAAACACCCACCAAAGGCTCAAGGCAGTTACAGCTCCACGATCCCCACAGCCCTTGCAGATATTGTATTCCTAATGTTTATTTCTCTTCTTTAATAAAGCATTTTGCTCTATTTTAAACATCTAGATGTAGCAAATAGCTTACAGGAAAGCAGCACAGCTTATTTCTGTCTTAACTGCTGTGTGAGATCAGAGAACTGAAGCTTTAATCCCTAAAGCATTGATGTTCCACATTAAAGAATATAATTTTATGTGTATTTTCTAGTAAACTTTAAGTGAAGCAGTTCGCATAAACAGTTTTAACATTTGTACACTGCATTTCTTCGGATGGTCTTTGGGCTCTTCCTTCCCACCAGAGGTTATAAGGTCACCACAGTCAACAGAGTCATCTTGGTTTGATCTAAAATTTCTGGTTTTCAGCTACAGCATGAAACGAGCTTTTTGCCTTTTCAAGAACCGTATGTTCTGTAGCTCCTAATCAAGATGCTGAGCCTGTTAGTTGCACAAAACCCACATTACATCAGAAACCAAAGTCTCTCCCAAATATAAGATAACAAAGAGGAGATCAATATCTACTAGAAACAACACATTCCAGCAGGGCGATTACGCAGAGTGGATTTTACCATCAATCAGAGAACATTGGCAACTTTTAAGGAGACTTATACAGCACCATTAAAGCTAAAGGTTAACAGGTCATGATCACAGCAGATCAAATATTAAGACGTCAGCTTCAAGTTTTATGCTACTTTCAAACTCACTAGGTCACTTCAAGTTGAGGAATATAAAAATCACTGTGAATAGGATTTATCTAGCTCACCTTGCTTAATAGATCCATAAATTCAACTGGTTCCCCGTGCAAGAAAATAAAGCCTTTCAAAATGAACACAGGCTACCAAAATCCCACAGCACGCTACCCTCAGTGTAAAATACCAATCAAAAGGCATTCGTTTCAAAAGCTACAATTACACTACCCACACAGAGCAGGGTTTAAAGGATACCTTTACAATTAGCAGTAGAAAACTAACTCAAGCTTGACAATAAAAGCACCATTAGGAACACAAGCCGTGTTTCACTGGAAGATACTATTTCATTAAGTCACTAGTAATGGGGACTGTGTATTCTATTAGTAGAATAATTACACACAGCTCTTCGATACACAGTGTAGAGGACACAAAAACCTGTTTTACAGCGATCAGTACCAACTCCCCCACATTTCTGTCCTCTAGCTTCCACTAATGAACCTGTAAAGACTATAAACTACACACATCCTTGTGTCAGCTTCCATAACATCATCCTTTCCATGGAAGTCTTGAAAAATGTCAGTGGATGTCTTTGCATGCACATTTATGGCTCACAGACAAAATGTTACCAACTTTGATGTTTCTTTGTGTGTTATCGTGCTTGCCCCTTAAGCCTGGTCACAAGCAATAAACTTAAGGGAGAGAACCATGACATTTTATATAGGGTTTCATTGAGAATAATTGAATTAATTCAACTTTAACTGCTGGCTGCCTATGTGAAATTCTTCTTGCCTGCTCCTTAGAAAAGCAGGATCTAAGCTAAATCTTTCACTTTGGCATGCTGCAAGAAGTCTGGTGTGGAAGGTTTTAGTTATACTTGCTCAAAAAATACATTTGAAAGCTACTATTTTAGTGTTTTTATACTCGTGAAGCACTCAAAATGCACGATGGCATCTGCCTGCCCCCTCTCCTCTCTTTTTTCTATTCTTCCTGATATGTTTGGGGAAAAAAAAAAAAAAAAAAAGAAATCAAGCTCCTTTAAAGCAGACAGTAACTACAAACCAAACAGCTTCTGCTCAGGGAGGTTCAAAGTGCGTCCCTGTAAAAATCTGTTGATATTTATCTTCTGACTATGGAATATTACTTTCCAATAGTGTCTAGATTTCAAACACAGCTTTAATACACCTTGAGTTTACCACAGATATTCTGTTTCTGTACACAAAGAGCCCACCGCTCAGCTGGCATACAGCAATAACATTCATGGGACTCAAAGAACAACTTAGTTAACTTGATGCAAGAAAAACAGACAATAGTTAGTAACTTCCAACATATTAATCCCTTTTGGAGCTGTTTCTGCACCTCATTTCCCTTGTACTCAAAGCTACTCTTGCTTCACTTCAGACATCTGACATGTCAGCAATGGTAAGAATCTGAGCTGGGGAAAAGCACAAGTACTGGCAGTGAAAAAGGGATGAACAAACCAGCAGGCCCATGCAAACACAGCTTTAGGATCTGTGGCAATTGTGCCCAAGATGCTGAAATTCAAACAAGTCCCACTTGAAATTCAGAAGGCAGAAAACACTGTGTGTAAGAGTGATGCAAACTGCACACCAGGCTGATTTGAAGCAGATGGTCAATATGAGCCTTCAAGATCTAAGATAACAGAAAGAGGATTCTCGATCTTATAAGCTTACGTTCATTTTGGAATTTTGATGTTTTACTTATTTAATCCTGAAGGACTGTGACCAATGCAAAGTTTTTATTCATTTCTGAGTCAAGTGTTCTGTTTTATGGGACTCACTGGGATGCAAGTCAGCTGAGCAGTGTTTCCCAGCTGTGCCACACTGCAGGCACAGAGGCAAATCCATAATAAACTGCTAAACGTACCCAGGCAGGACGTTCTTAGACACTTATCTCACCTCCTCTTTCACAGCACGTTCCTCTGGACAGAAGTTGTATTCTGCTTGTGATGCTGCAATGACAGGATGGTTTCTTGCATAGAGAACCATAACAATGTGGTGCTCACAGCCTCAAAGCACACATGAGGTTCTATCAACACTAATGTGTTCAAGACCCAAGTTTTTCCAGCCTCACCAGAGGAGGTTTTGGTTGTCATTTCTCATGGGTGACAGCAAAAAAAAGATAGATATACATACATATATATCCTGATATATCTATCAGCAGTTACAAGAGACTTCAAATCACAGACTGGTTTAGGTTGGAAGGGGCCTTTCAAGTTCATCTATTCCAAACCCCCTACACTGAGCAGGGACATCTGCAACTAGAGCAGGTTGCTCAGAGACCCGGTCAACCTCACCAGGAATGGTTCCAGGGATGGGGCAGTGACCACCTCTCGGGGCAACCTGGGACAGTATTTCAACACCCATAGTATAAAAAATTTCTTCCTTCTATCTAATTTAAATCTCCCCCTATTAGTTTAAACCCATTAACCCTTGTCCTGTTGCAACAGGCCCTGCTCAAAAGTCTGTCCCCAGCTTTCTGACAGGGCCCTTGAAGTCCTGGCAGGCCACCAGAAGGTCTCCCCGGAGCCTTCTCCTCTCCAGGCTGATCAAGACCAACTCTCTCAGCCTGACCTCTCAGCAGACGGCTTCTAGCCCTCAGGTAATTTTTTGTGGCCTCCTCTGGACATGCTTCAATAGGTCCATGTATTTCTCATCATCTAATCATCTCTGAGTGAGTTCATTTTAGCAGAGCTTAGACCAGAGCTTGAAGCTCCTCTGTCCCACTTTACCTCTCTCTCCCACCTTTCCTGCTTGGAGAGTTCTCAAGAATAAGCATCTCCTCTCCACCTGAAATCTTAATTCCAAGAAGTCAACATCAACCATTTTATTTCTGCCTACTTCCTATGAATTAGTGCCACACTTCCTAAGCAGACATCAGCTGCTAGATAAAGAACCCTTCAGCTTAGAGCTCATCCAAGAAAAGCGTGTGGAAGTCGGAAGGGAGCATGTTATGAATAGCTACCCAAGAAACTCTTCTTCCAAGGCCACCTGATATTCAAACCAGACACTATTCTTAGCACTGAAATGCTGCTTAACACAACTGGATGCCACCAACCATGAGCAGTTCTGAGAACAAAGTGGGGTCTGAAGTACAGAGGGCAGCTGATTTTCACTCTATTTACACAGAAGGACGTTTTGCTGATAGGCAATGAGTAAGCAAACACGTATGAGAAGGTCAAAGCTTAGTGCTGATCTACATAACCAAATACATCTACTTGTAAGAAACTCAAATGAAAGGGACAAATCAAAGCTTGCCCTCAATGATCAGAAGACAGATTAGTGCAAGTCTAAGAGGAAGAATCTCTAATTTCCTTGTAAACTGCTGAGGCAAACAAGGGTGGAAAAGGAAGAAACCCCAGCTAAAAGGAGAGGCTCAGCCAAGTGTCAACATTGGTGGTATTTTTATGCTGTCGACTCCATGTGAAAGTTTCTAGGGCACTAAGCCTCATTAAAGCCTCCCAAAAGAGCTGTGAAAAGGAAAAAGCGAGGCAAAGGTGACGTGGTTTGTTCGCAGTTACTCTGGTGGGGAAAAGTCAGGCTTTTTAATAATAAAATAAAATAAAAAAAAAAGACTGAAAGTCTAATTGTTCTCCAAGTTGAAGCTACAGAACTAGCACCCTGTTTGAAATACCATTCTAATCGGTATAGAGCTCACAGGTAGCCAACTACACCAACAGGACTCTGAAGGAACTGTTAC